TTTCGCGTGGATTTGGTGTAAGAAACGGCGGAGATCGGGGCGGGATCCTTCAAACTTGTCAGGGTCGGGAAGCTTCTCAGACAGTCGGGAGGAGGTGGTAGATCCGGCAGCAGGCGGCGGAGTCGTTCCCAAGTGAGGAGCTGTGACCTCTTCAGCGGGGGGGGTTCCTGAAGCCTCTGGAGTGATTACTCGTACGGTCGGTAAGCTGGCTTGCTGGGCGAGTCGGGCGGTCACGGTTGCCTCGATAATCTGCATATCCTTATCCTTCATCTGAGCAAGAAGGTTCCGGTTAGCCGCGCTCTCCTCGATGATCTTGGTTTCGAGGGTGGCTGTTTTCTCGTCTAGTGCAGCTATATGATCGGTGAGGTTCGCAATCTAGGTGTCTTGGGATTCCATGTAGGCGTATGCCTATTAACAGAAGTAAAACCATTCAGAAGGGTTACTAGCTACGGCATCTACGAAGGCGCGCGTATCCTGAGGTAACTCTAGAGGCGTCGGGCGGGAGGTCATCGTGTTCAGCGTCCTATAGGTAGGAGCTACGTAATATCAGGGGGGGTCGGTCGGCAGGTAGGACGGGGAACACTCGGTCAGGCTGATCTAGTCTATTGCTACGGATAGGCACTCCTCAGGTAGGGCAGGCTCTATGTACAAGACGTAGCTCGAAGAGCTACAACAGAAGACGGTCGGGATCGCGACAAAATGCAAAGGCAGGCGCGAGTTCACGTGACTGCCAGGTGCAGGGTGGGTCCCCGCTCTTGACCAGCTGTGACAGTGTAGGCGGTTCTGGGCGTTCTAGACGCGGTTAGGGTCGCCGAACGCGTTTTCGAGATAAGTCAGGAGTTCGGGGTAGTCGCTAAACTATAGGATTCTAAAGACGGTGCGGGGGAGTATTAAGGCGTATACCTTCCCGGTAAGCCTACCGGCTACGTACGTTAACCGGCTCGTAGCGGTAGGGAATCGGTCGGCGTTAGCTGTTATTTTCGCGTGGATTTAGTGTAAGAAACGGCGGAGATCGGGGCGGGATCCTTCAAACTTGTCAGGGTCGGGAAGCTTCTTAGACAGTCGGGAGGAGGTAGTAGATCCGGCAGCAGGCGGCGGAGTCGTTCCTAAGTGAGGAGCTATGACCTCTTTAGCGGGGGGGGTTCCTAAAGCCTCTAGAGTAATTACTCGTACGGTCGGTAAGCTGGCTTACTAGGCGAGTCGGGCGGTCACGGTTGCCTCGATAATCTGTATATCCTTATCCTTTATCTAAGCAAGAAGGTTCCGGTTAGCCGCGCTCTCCTCGATGATCTTGGTTTCGAGGGTGGCTGTTTTCTCGTCTAGTGCAGCTATGTGATCGGTGAGGTTCGCAATCTGGGTGTCTTGGGATTCCATGTAGGCGTATGCCTGTTGACAGAAGTGAAACCATTCAGAAGGGTTGCTAGCTACGGCATCTGCGAAGGCGCGCGTATCCTGAGGTGACTCTGGAGGCGTCGGGCGGGAGGTCATCGTGTTCAGCGTCCTATGGGTAGGAGCTACGTAATATCAGGGGGGGTCGGTCGGCAGGTAGGACGGGGAACACTCGGTCAGGCTGATCTGGTCTATTGCTACGGATAGGCACTCCTCAGGTAGGGCAGGCTCTATGTACAAGACGTAGCTCGAAGAGCTACAACAGAAGACGGTCGGGATCGCGACAAAATGCAAAGGCAGGCGCGAGTTCACGTGACTGCCAGGTGCAGGGTGGGTCCCCGCTCTTGACCAGCTGTGACAAACTCGGTAGAGTGGTGGCTTTTATACCCGTCGAGGATTAGAAGATAATAGGTACTATTCGATCGCTTCTCTATATATTAATTAAAGTACTTTAGCTATAGGAGACCCGTAGTATTATCGGTCTAGCCGTTTTTCGTAATTACGATAGCCTAATTACCAGGGAGAGTGCTTTCTTAATACTAGCTTAAGAGGTGATATTAGCCTATAATAACGATAAACGGCGGCGCTGCCTAGCCCTACGTAAAGATCGATTAAATAACTATAACCTATTCCCGGTTTCTAGGCTAGACTCTTTTCGGGTTCCCACGCCTTTCTACGCCTATAATAACTATACCGCTTATAATAACGCCTATCATAAAGCCTATCTCGTCGAAGTTATGGATATCACCTGATCGGATACTATACTTCGCGATTATATTCGCTATAAGTCGAAATCACGCGTTTATAGCGACTAGATCTTCGTATTTGGCCCTTTAGTAGTTATATCTACGAAAGAAACGCGTCTTAAGCTCTAGTTACCGCTTAATAAAATTCCCTGCCTAGCGCTTACCGACGGGTAACGCGTCGCGGTCGACGCGCAATAGATTAGCTATTTCTTTAATACCACTAATCCAAGGTAAAAACCCTCGCGAATCTAGATCAATTATATACTTAACTAGCTTCTGTTCTTTAAGATCGCATAGTTTCCGCGAATTAGCCATGATATCGCTTCGAGACTGTATGCCCTGTCGACGGCGGCCTAGCTTCTTCCTACACACCTGGTAGATCTAGGCTGCGCGTCGCACGCTTAGCTCTAGGTCTTTTTAAAGGGCTTGAAGGGCTAGATTGATACTAGCCTCATCATTTGGGACTGGCATGCTTGGTTGTTGGGGATCAATTGATCAAATGATGATAGTGTAGGAGGATCGATTTGTGGGACATTCGCTTGTCTGGGACATTCGCTTATCAATCACGTTACTATATACGCGATCTCATCATTGGCAATGAGCGTTGAAGCTCCCTGATTAAAATTTTCTGTTGAGGACAATAAGGGATCTGCGCTTGGCGCCACAACGCGCACGTCGCGAGTCGGACGCACCGCATCGTCCTTGGACGTGACTAGTAGATGTGGCGCAAAGATCACCTTCGTCTTGACCTTGGGCTCATGTCACTGTCCCAAGAAGACGACCACGCGCGAATTGCCCTGAGCACTCATCAACGTAGGCATTTTGCCCTCCAGCAGTTCGTCTACAAGAAGCGGTAGCTGTGTCTTGCCCTCGGCGGCGCGAGCTCCTACGTTGCTTGAGATGCACTTGGTCCAACTCGAAGTCAGAAGTGCCGGGGAGGGCAGTCGTGCACGCGCCGAGACGGCTCAAAGCCACTTTGATGGGCTGGGATCAGCCTTGAGTCGGAAAAAGCTTGGTTACCAGCATTGCGAGGCATCGACAAGGTGAGTTATAGAGCTTTTCGACTTCCCTTCGACTGACAGTTGCTGCTTTTGGCAAATCGTCGTCACCAAAGGATTGAATGGGAAACTTGTGGCAGTGTGTCGAGAACTTGTCTGCCAGAATACTCTGGGCTCGTCTCGACGAGACTGCACCCGTTCCATTAGCGTACGGATACTCGTTTGAGAGCAACGAGCTGGGCGAATCGCAATAGTCGGCTGCTAGACTTTTTACCTCTTACTGTCTCCTATCTGCAGAACAGTTCGTTCCTGCGTTTGGTTGGCGGCTGGTGGCATGAACCTCTGCACCCCATGCTGCGACTTGCGAGGCAGATTGGAAAACGCCGTCATCATAGCCGGCACGGGACCTCAATTCCCACGGCAGCAGCCTCAGGAGTCAGGCCCTCCCTCCTCACTCAGAAGGATTGGATCCACAACATTCAATGTTGCCTTCAGGCCTCAGTGAGCTCACGTCAAGGGTTGGGGTGCGATCCTGTGGAATCTGGGGCCGTTCAATGCCGCTCAGGCCAGCCATGTCATCCTTCCCACCAGAGCGTGACTTCAAACAACACGTCTGTTCTTTGTGGAAACTTGGGTGAGTGTCTTCCACAATATTGACTACAGAGTACAAGCGCGGAAGTGACTTGTAACGGCCACGAGTGAATCTGAGTTTATTAATCACGGTCTAGATCTTCGCATGCATGCCATAGTTCACGCGACGCCAATGACAACGTTGTGTGCCGCCCAAACTTTGAGGGTTAGGGCACCGTCTGTACCTGGGATTTACGGCTCGTCCCCCAGGTGCGGCTCGGACCTGTCGTGTGGACCAGCTCGCCTTGGGTAACCCAAAACACGATCGTCGTCAAGTGGGAAATAAGGGCCAACGATGAAGGATCACTTGATGGCCGGCATAGTCAACTCCTCGATGCCGACGCCGTCGTTTTGACACTGGGTACGGAGTTGCATGCATGTTCATGTCAGCAAAACCTCATCATGGACGTCAGCTCCGGACCCCGAAAGCCCGGGTAATGTAGTTGATGGATGGATGGATGGATGGATGGATGGGCTCAACTTCAACGGTATGACGTTTGCTCACGCGTATACTACGGGAATTGTCGATCGACCAGGCTGTGTGGCCCTTGTACGGTGAGCCAACACGTGCGATGGAGCCGAGTGACACTCACGACAAAGGAGCCGCCTGAGATGGCCTCAGCTCATCGCGAGCTGATCTGCGTGATCTGGGAGCCTTGGATTTGACGCATGGACTCCTTGCCGTCCATCCCCGCATCGTTATGAAATTGCCATTCACAAATAAACTTGGGAGCCCGTCGTTGTGAAAAGCACACAGACGACCCTCCAGAATCCACACGACCGGAGGTGGTGACGGGAGGCTGGCGCACGGGAGTCGCTCTTCTCGAAGCTCCACCCGGCAAAGGCGTGCCGGATGATCTCCACAGGAGGACCCGGAGGTGCCATTTTATCCTTCCTTCCTCCAACGAGAGGCCTCGCCGCCAGACGCAAAGTACAGAAAGTCACATCCATCATCGTCATCAATGAATGGGGCAATGGCAGATCAGAGTTTTTGAGCGCCATCTCTCGCTGTAATTAGCCTGCTGAGGCAGCCAAAGGACGTCTACAGTACGGTGCTGTTGCCATGGCAGGGTTAACAATGCCGCGACGCCAAGGAGTCGCACTTGCACGGCATGGAATGAGGCTCGTCGGCGGTATTCCAGGGGAATGGGACGGTCTGGCATCTCCAAAGCTGATTACCAAGACATGTCAGATTGTGCCCGGCAGCAACCGACAACCTGCTGCCAGCAACCGACAACCTGCTGCCAGCAACCAGCAGGCTGTACCGCTAGCCGAGACATGAATTGCGCACAGATTGTGTGTGACATGGGAAGCGTCTCTTGGGTGTCTGGCGGGCGCTGAACGGGACCAACATGTCATTTTCACCCTCCACCGTCGTGGATCGACGTTCCCCAGGTGTCATGGGCCTTGCTGTGCAGGACTCCGTACTACAAGTACCTAAGCGATCAACTCTAAAGAAGCTGTTTCCACGGCCCTTGCGTGCCCGAGGATCCTGTTTTGGCTGCCGGGGCCATGTCTTTCGTCACTCGACAGGAATGGGCGGATGTCTCACGGTCTAATTCTGCCTTTGGCGCTGCGCCCTTCCGGGGTAGCCATCCCATCAGACTCGGTGAAATATGGATATTTGACAGACGCACAAGGGATCCGCTCGAGCACTATACATCGAGCCATGATGTCAGAAGTCTACACCACCCGTAGGATGAAGGGTGTGTTTTCCTACGGCTTGTTCTTTCTCTCTCCAAAATTGCGCCCATTCCCAAGAATCCGATCATCGATGCGGAGCGGTACATAAGAGAGAACGGGCGTCCGGTTGCAAACACACCTACCCCTGACCTATTCATCACTTCATCACTTCATCACCCATCCATCTCACCTGGGCTTGGACTTGTATTCAAGGGTTGGTAGCGTCCGTGTTGTCTGGCTCGTGAGACGCTCACTAACACGTGTTCACGATAGCCAGTCGTCTCATCATGGCTCCCAGAACCACTCACTTCTCAGACGACCCACCCCAGGTCTTAGGGCAGGACGATCTAGCGAAAATCAGCGAGAAGCTGCGCACCAACGAACAGCAGCCGCAAGACGAACGCCCTGGTTCCCACACAGATGTCGAGACGGAAGCCGCCCAAACCAACGCCGAGTCTCTCGACAGCCCTACCAGCCCCAAGGGTGGCAAGCTCGAGAAGCTCGGGACGAATGACAAGTACGAAATCACAGAGGACGACTGCTACGATGAGCTTGGCTTCAAGTTTCCCACGTGGAAGAAGTGGTACATCCTCACCGTCATCTTCTGGGTGCAGGTATCCATGAACTTCAACACATCGCTGTACTCCAACGCCATCCCTGGCATCGCGGAAGAGTTCAACGTCAGCTTGCAGGCCGCGCGATGCGGTGCCATGATCTTCCTGGTCACGTACGCTTTCGGCTGCGAGCTGTGGGCTCCTTGGTCTGAGGAGCTCGGACGCTGGCCCATCCTTCAGCTCTCGCTCCTCCTGGTCAACATCTGGCAGATTCCCGTCGCATTGGCTCCCAACTTTGCGACTGTCATGGTTGGCCGCGCCCTCGGTGGTCTCTCTACCGCTGGTGGCTCAGTCACACTGGGCATGGTCGCCGATATGTGGGAGGCGGATGTTCAGCAATACGCTGTTGCCTACGTCGTCTTCTCGTCCGTTGGCGGCTCAGTTCTTGGCCCTATTGTCGGTGGCTTCACCGAGGCGTACCTCGACTG